CTTTATTACTAACTGCCTGAGTCCTCAGGCACACTGCCTGAATGACTGATTTTGCCTGTAACAAACTAAATCTTTGTTTTGACCCACTTTAACTTGTCACTATGACATAAGGAAACGGATGGCACAAGTTTTGCGAAAAAAAATTGCAAATTTTTTGCAAACAACCTGTCAAAGGAAATTTGCACATTTTTAGTTTTTCTTGATTAAAAATCAGGTTTTTTAAAATTTTGCAAATATTTTTGCATATTTGAAATGGCATGGTCAAGGGCTTTTCAAAAATGTATAATTTTTCATTTTTTGGACAAATTTTTTTTTGCAAACATTTTTACCATAAAACTGGATTTTGCGATAAAAAATTCAATTTTCGCAAATTTTCAATTTTTTTGCAGATTCTAAAAGTAGAGCACAAGAGCTTTCTAATGATGTATCATTTGTCATATTTGGACATTAAACATGGGATTTAGAGGGGGGGGGGGGCAGCGTATCCTGGTTTTCAAGTACCCCAGCAGGGATAGGGTTAAACTTTACTGCAGTGAAGAAAAATATTATTCAAATTCAGGGGGTGGGGGGGCAACCGCCAACCCAACCCCTTTAGGGATAATCAAATGGGACTAACCTTCTTTTGAGAATTTGTGTTCCAGGCAAGCATTAAGGTTATGTTCTCTGCAAATCTGATTCCAGGCTTCTGAACCAGGAGTATTTAGGTTACACTTACAGGTGCAGGGAAGAAAAAGCTATCTTTTTTAAATATTTACCTTAAATGTTTAGCGCACATTAGGTCTGATATAGTTAAGACAAAACTGTACTCTGTACACTTGCCGCAAACCTTTATATTGAATGTACTGTATGTCAATAGCTAGAACTATAGCTAAATTGCCATTTTCAATTTAATAGTAACCCAACAGCGTGGTGAAAACTACATGAGTCATCTATTCTATTTCATCTAGGATTGTGTCATATTAATGGTCGAGAAAACGACATGAGTCATCTATTCTATTTCATCTAGAATTGTGTCATATTAATGGTCGAGAAAACGACATGAGTCATCTATTCTATTTCATCTAGGATTGTGTCATATTAATGGTCGAGAAAACGACATGAGTCATCTATTCTATTTCATCTAGGGTTGTGTCATATTAATGGTCGAGAAAACGACATGAGTCATCTATTCTATTTCATCTAGGATTGTGTCATATTAATGGTCGAGAAAACGACATGAGTCATCTATTCTATTTCATCTAGGATTGTGTCATATTAATGGTCGAGAAAACGACATGAGCCATCTATTCTATTTCATCTAGGATTGTGTCATATTAATGGTCGAGAAAACGACATGAGTCATCTATTCTATTTCATCTAGGATTGTGTCATATTAATGGTCGGGAAAAACTGTGTCTGTATATCACAATCTAATTTAAACCCAAATTTCCTTTGAACCCTGAACTCTGTCCTTATTACATCACTTGAATTATTGTCAACTCAGATTCAAAATTGATTAATGGTTTAATTTGTAACAGTGTCTCAGCTATAACAAAAAAAGTTGTCTTAAGATATATTGTAATTTTGCAGTAAAGCGGTCTAAACTATTAGTTCCAAAACTATAAATGTTCTGTAGGCGAAATTTCAAGTGACCCCTTGTTAAAAGATATCAATGTCCGATTTACTACGGAACCCTTGAACCATTATTCTGATCAGGAATGTGGAAGATACCGTCCTTTTCCAGACTCAAAAAGTGTTACTAGACTAACAGTATCTTCCTTATTTGATTATTGTTATGTAATTTATATATTTCAATTCAATTCTGTTCTTTTAAAAAACTCATAAACATGCTCAGAAACAAAATTTTAAAGCATAAAATAGCTGGTGGATTTATATCTTAAAGTAGAGCGCAAGTTTAGCCTTTTGAAAGTTCTATGGCATTGCCCAATTCCTTTCTATTGCCTTATCTCTGATTTATAATTTTAAATTTCAAGTTAATTAGATGAAATAAAATACTATTAACATGCAAATTTTGACTAAGTTGACATCCTTTTTCTTTGGCAAAAGATATTTTGTTGTTTGTTTACATTCAGAGTTTATATCTATGGAGATATAACCTTGCTCTGCCAGCTAGCCTCCTCTCATCAAATAAAAAGGGAAGCATTGCTCTCTTTGTGTTTATCTCTTATCTTACATCTGAATCATATAAACCTCAGCTGAGATAGTTTTCATTTTATTCAATTAGATAATGATTAATGGGAATGTAACCGTAATTTCAAGTGACCCTCCATGCCCCATTCACAATGGTACCCTTGACATATTTATCTAAACAATAATGTAGAAATGCGCAACTCACTTTTGTAGATAGCACTTTTTTACATGGAGGGTCACTTGAAATTTAGCTTACAGTCCCTTTAAACAATCACTTATATTAGGTTGACAGGGATGCAAATCCAAATGGATTTAGCAATCAAAATTTAGGGACATTACTCAATCTAAAAATATTTCCAAAAAAGTAATAGATTTTTATCTAATAGAAAATGACCTATTTCCAGCGAATATATTTTCATTCTTCAAGAATTTTTACTTGAGATTCACGTAGAGGTAGGAAAAATTAATAACTCAAAACAGATTATTTTTTGCTTTAGCAGTCTCATTTTTGACATTTTTAAAAAGGGTTTGTAAAATGTATGTGAATACGTATGTCAGGTCTTAATATTAACCAATAACGAAAAAATGTATTTAATGCATTTTTCCGGCCTTTTTTAACATTTTTTTTCAAACCTCCCTAGCATCAAAACTATTAAAGTTAGCAAATTATTTTTTAGTTAAATAAGCTGGCCTAAAAAGGTCGGACTAAGAATATGCATCAAAATGAATAGATACTAAAGTGGGCCAAACTCAAAATTGGATGACGACATTTTATGTCCCAAGTATTTTAGAATACTATTGCTGGGCCCTTATAATCTGTTTGTGACTGTGAGTAGGGTTGATAATCGTTTTTGAAAACGATCTTTAAACGATCGTTTTTTGTTTCGTTTTCCGATCATTTTAAAAACAATCGGTTTAAAACTTTTTAAAAAAACGATAGTTTTTAAAGCGATCGGAAAACGAAACAAAGAACGATAGGAAAACGAAAAAAAACGATCGTTTTTAAAAAAAATGAAAACGTTAACATCCCTAACTGTGTGTACAGTTTTATTGGACTCCATTTGTTTACAAACTTTACTCTTTACCTGAAATTACCAAACACAAAGTTAATGATAAAACACGAAAGTACATATACGTGTAATCAAAGACGGTAGAATAGTAGAAGATAGGGCATTAGAATATATCCGAATAGTGTGTACGCTCTGTACACATTTATATGACGTCATTGGCTGCGGTATTGGTTTTAAATTCAAACAATCAACATTAAAACTCTAGTTATCAAATAAATTAATCATTGTAGTTGCTAAAAATAGTGGGAAATAAAGCATAGTAATGCTTGGTCGTTTTAGACGTTTTAGTTACTTAAACTAATCTTGTAGAATCGCATATAATTCAACCAGATTAAACTTTAAGTGAATGCAACCTTAAATGGAATAAAATCAATACTGAAAAGATATCTAGTATTCCTTAAATATCTTGTATGTAGTATAGATTTAAAATACTAAACAATCCCTTTAAAGTTCTTTCCACCTAAATGAACTTCTCAAATCAAACAAGTGAGGACTCTCAGGATGAATGCAGGCTATAAGGTATGAATGAAAGATAAAGAAATATTTGTAATAGGCTTCTATTTCGATTGTGAACATTTTCTTTTTGTACAGAAAACAAAAACAAAACAAAAACAAACAAAAAAACAGGGATTTGATAAAAAAAATTGTGGAATCAAAAATCAAATCTAATTTTTTATATTTTTATCCTCCATATATTAATTATTAATTAATTAAGCATGAATTTCAACTATATTACTTTAAAACTTTTGTGCTTTAACTCTATCTATTCAATCTTTGTCAAAGGGAATACTTTAAGCAATTTCTGACTCAGTAACATCTCGCCATATAGCATTTCGACATTTATCAACAAATCGCTTATATAACAGCTCGCCATATATAAAAAAAAATTATTATTTAGTAGAAAGTACGTAGTAGTTTATTTGTAGAAAGTATATGTAATTATATAAAATTATGACACATTGTTTAGCTATATTGATGAATACATAGATACATATTAAATTAGATTTGAAAAGTGTCGGAGAAATTGTTTGTGTCCACCAAAGATGGTTTCCCCCGCTGAGTTGTAACTTTAGATGCGTGCAGTACTCCCGACATTGTTGGAATAACTGTATTTGCGGATTTTTGGTTTTTGATTCATGCATTTTCTGGTATAATTTCATTTACACTACAATTATTAATTTAAAAATTAATATATAGGCGAGTTGTTATATGGCGAAATGTTACTTAGGCGAGTTGTTACTTAGGCGAGTTGTTATATGGCGAGTTGTTATATGGCGAAAGTTATATTGGGAAATGTTATATGGCTAGATGTTACTGAGCCCAGTTTATTAAAAACAATTATTTGGCAAATCAAAAATAAAAATTTACAAACTAAGGGGTGAAAAGGGACAGAAAATTCTTGAAGGGAGAACACAAAAAATAAGTAACTTTTATAACCTAGATCAAAGCAGTGAATTCCAGAAAGGTTCTCTGGGTAAGATACACACCATGCTTTGGGCCTAGCACAGGAGCGCCTTTTATACTTTTTTGTAAAGGGGAGGGAGGGGGGTTTATTCAAAGTCATAATCTTTAATTTCTAATTAATACTTGATCAGACAAAGCTTTAAAGGGTCCCATTGTGAGTCAGGTATTGCCATTTTTACAAAAAAAAGTAAAATGTCAGATTGGTATCTACTGAATCCTAAAATTAATCTTTAAAATACTGCAGTTTCAGTTCAACTATTTTAACTATCTTACCAGGCGCCCATTAATGACAACTATTTTCAGTTATATTTGCAGAGCAAAATGAGAGTTCACAGATGGAAATTTTATCTCATTTTCCACTAAAAGGATTGTTTACGTATTTTGAAGTAAACATTACCATACTTTCCAGAATTGGGAAAACCTTTATCTTCTGTCTTAATTGCAATGTTGACTACTTGGTAAGAAAAGAAAATATGTAAACTTATTCCTCCGAACAGTTTTCTATAAATTGCATCAATGTGGTCCTTTTCCATTCTTTTTTTGTGGGGAAACTAAAGGTTTTTTTTACTGTACCAAATACTGTAAAAGTACATATATGAGATTCTTTTGCAAGCATTTAGTTCATCGGTTCAAATGAAGTTAACAATTGACATTATCCCCTTTCTTTATAAACTCTAACCACTCTTGTAGATTGATATATTTCAACCAGATTAAACTTAAACTATATACAACCTTAAATTGAACAGCATCTTTACTGAAAATATTAGTATCTATACATAACTTTTCAATAAGTAAACAGTCCTTTAAAGTTCTCTCTAACAAAATGAACTCCTCGAACAAATCAAGTCAGGACGCTCTTGATGACTGCAATGTTGAAAGGTAAAGGAATATTTGTAATAATATTGGTAATTATTTTAAAAATGATGTTCTTTATTTTTAAGCTTATCCTGGGAACCTTTCATGGCTTTGGCTTTTCTGGTCCCCTCAATCTTTTCCAACCTTTCAGCTGGTGTTATCAGACTCTACAGGAACTCTGTTCCATTTGCCAAACTGAACATCATCTTTATCATCAACTACTACATTGTGGAGATGTTCAATTTCCTTATCTCTTTAGGGGTTAGTTTTTTTTCAAAACACGTTAAAATACTAATTGGACTAACAATTAACAATTAATTTGATAATTTATTAAAATATTTTAAGTTTACTAAAATAACATCAGTTTGCAAAATAGAAAAGCATTTAAGTAGTTGAATTGTTTAGGCTCTTGGTGCCATTTGGGCAACCATCATCTGTAAACTACCAATGTTTCTTGGAACTATGGTTTTCAAAAGTATGGAATGGGCTGTGTTCACCATGATGGGATTGAACATAGTTCAGGCTGCCCTCAGGATGCTGATAGTTCTGAAGGTTGTTTATTAAATCGATAGTTGAATCAGAATTTAAAGAAACCTTACCTTTTATTCATTAAATATTCAGGTTCTAATGGCAGATGCTTTGGACATACTCTAAATATTATGCAAATACTTTGTAAACCAGAGATGAGATTTTAAAAGCTTAAACCCAAATAAAATCTAAACTCGGGCTTAGATAGAACCCAAATCAGGATTTGTTCTGATTCAACCAATGAGAGACTGTTTAGAAAGCTTTCTCTCTAAGGCAGACAGAATGCCGTCAGATCAGCTGTGACAAGGAGATGTAAATTTCAAAATTTCAAACTTTCTGTAGATACATTATTTTCATAGAATGTTTATTTTATATATTCAATAAAATTTGACACCAGAAATAATTCCCGAGATTTTAAAAGATTTTTCAAAATTTACGATCATCAGCTTCTGAAGACTCGAGCCATAAAGAGAGAAAACAAAACTTAAGGCCATCCAAAACCTGGGTCTTGGCTTGTGCTTTACTTGGGTCTCAGCAAACACAAAGACCAGGTTTTACTCTGGTTCAAGCTTTTAAAATCTCATCTCTAAACTGAGACTGAAACAAGAAAAAAAAGTGTAAAGTAAATTGTAATTGATGAAATAATAATGAAGGAAAAGCTTTTAAATCTCATTGTATATAGTTTGACCAAATGATGGAACTAGAACCGGAGAAAACTGCAAAACAACTGTTTCTGGCAACCCAGATTATCTACATACCCATCACCATCATCAACACAGTTGTAGATCTCAAAAGAGGTGTGAAACAGGGGTCCATATAATTCCCCACAATAGCTGATTTTCTCGATCCCAAAATAATTTTTTGCCCCAAACTTAAAAAAAAATCCCCCATTTTAAAAAAAATGCCCCCAATTAAAAAAACATTTTCTAATTCCACTAACACATTTGCCCCCATTGCACCCAATTTGAAAAAAATGCCCCCATTTAAAAAAAATGCCCTCAATTAAAAAAACATTTTAAAATCCACTAACACATTTGCCCGCTTGCCCCCAATTTAAAAAAAATGAAATTTTTTTTTCAAATTCCACTAGCACATTTACCCCCATTTGCCTCCAATTAAAAAAAAATGCCCCCAATTAAATAAAAATGCCCCCATTTTTTTTTAAATTATCATTTTTAAAAATTTGCCCCCTTTTAAAAAATTTGCCCCCATTTCTTTCAAATTTGTCAATCCCAAATGGGATTGAAAAAGGAATTATATGGACCCCTGGTGTGAAAAAGTGAATTTTTAATTGCTACTTTGTTCTCATAAAAATATTTAACACCCTTGAGTTTAAGCTATATCTATAAATTCAAAGTTCAATGTTTAGAGTTTATTCCTGGCTATCTTGGATACCTAACTGGGGCACAACCATCCTTTGGACATCCTATTACCTTGTATCTAATTGCTGCCAATATCATTCTTGCACTTCTTGCCACAGTATTTGCATATACCTTTAACACTCTGTATCTGAATAACAAGCATGCTCTGATAATCCGACATGAAATCGGTACTCCTCAGCAGAATCTGATCAGCCTGAAGAAACTGATTTTGGGAGCACTAGTGATGACACTGCTTATAATAGGACTCATTTTAATCAAATTTTTAATACCTCCTTGTAACAGACAACAGTCCCTGCCCTGGGCTATCCTCTTCAACATTCTAGCCAGTGTTCAACTCATGCTTGCCAAAAATGTAAATGCATGGAACCACTGTAAGCAAGTTCTGAGAATTGAAAGAGATAATCTAGAATTTTCATCTTTTAATCCAAGGCAAATATTTGGAAAAAGAAACAGGGTTTCTGCAATTGCTTAAAGATACTGTCAGCAAAATTTCAGTCTCGCTTCCAAGCTAAGATGGCAACGGCCAATTCACAAGGGTACCATTGAAACCTTTAACTTATTAATAATGTGGATTAAATTGTCAATTTTTTAAAAACTCAAAAAGTGTATTTCTAAATATTGTATGCTTCATATTTTTCCCTGCACAGTATAAATGTGCAAATCACTTTTGTAAAGAACCCACAATTGAAAATAATCTGTTTTCAAAGTTGATTTCTAATCAAAGCTTGATCAGACAAAGCTGTTAAGGGTACCAAAGTGAGTCAAGCATTGCAATCTTTACATGGAATTTGAAGGTCACTTGAAATTATGCTTTTAGTCACCTTAAGGACTAAGGTAGAGGTAACTGATCAAAACGGAACGTATTTGTCATTGGATAATAGCTTGCCAGGATTCTCTCTATTGTCTCTATTTAATTTTGGGATCAATTTGGAACTGTAAAGGGCTTACAAAACCTTCCCTGAAGCTATGATAAACCATTAAAAGCTTTTGTAAATTAATGGCAGAAATTTTCTCAACTGAAAAAAGACTTAATGCAATAATTCCAGATCAATTCTTAACAGTTTCAGGAAAGGTCCTGTAAGACCTTTATCAGGAAAAATTGGAAACTCTAATTTTCTTCTGATGAATTTGTAGTAATGGGAAAACAGTATATCCTGAACACATGAATAAAAGAAACTAAAAGTTGATAAACCTACAATAATCTGATCAAAAAAATATCTTTTGCGTTTTCTAGATAATTCTTGACAGAATATAGATGATAGATACATTCACTATCTTAATACCTTCAACTTTAAAATAATAATAATGATAATAATGTTAATTGCTAAATATTGTTGGCCTTACAAAATTGAAAATAACCTGTTTTCAAAATCATAATCTTTGACTTCTAACTAATACTTGATCAGAGAAAACTATTAAGTTTACCATTTTGAGTCAGGTATTGCCATTTTTACAAAAAAAGTTAAATGTCTGATTGGTATCTAATGAATCCTAAAATTAATCTCTAAAATACTGCAGTTTTAGTTCAACTATTTAAACTATCTTACCAGGCCCTTAAATAACAACTATTTTCACTTTTATTTGCAGAGCAAAATGAGAGTTCACAGATGGAAATTTTATCTCTTTTTCCCCTAAAAGGATTGTTTAGGTATTTTGAAGTAAACATTACCATAATTTTCAGAATTGGGAAAACCTTTATCTTCTCTCTTAATTGCATTGTTGACTACCTAGCAAGAAGATGAAAATATGTAAACTTATTCCTTTGAACAGTTTTCTATAAATTGAATCAATGTGGCCCTTTTACATTATTTTTTTTGTGGGAAAAATAAAGGTCCTTGTTTTACTGTAGCAAATACTGTAAAAGTACATATATGAGATTCTTTTGCAAGAATTTAGTTCATCAGTTCAAATGAAGTGAACAATCGACATTATCCCCTTTCATTATAAAACTCTAACCATTTTCATAGATTGAATATTTCAACCAGATTAAACTTAACTATATACAACCTTAAATAAAATTGCATCAGTACCGAAAAATATTAGTATTTTCATGTAGTACAGCTTTTCAATAGGTAAACAGTCTTTTAAAGTTCTCTGTCACAAATGAACTCCTCGAACAAATCAAGTCAGGACACTCTTGACGACTGCAATGTTGAAAGGTAAAGGAATATTTGTATTAATATTGGTAACTATTTTTAAAATGATCTTCTTTATTTTTAAGCTTATCCTTGGAACGTTTCATGGCTTTGGCTTTTCTGGTCCCCTCAATCTTTTCCAACTTTTCAGCTTGTGTTATCAGACTCTACAGGAACTCTGTTCCATTTGCCAAACTGAACATCATCTTTATCATCAACTACTTCATTGTGGAGATGTTCAATTTCCTTATCTCTTTATGGGTAAGTTTTTACAAGACACTCTGATAAACTAATTGGTCTTTTTTTTACTTTGAAATCTAGCCTAAGTATAGTTGGATAGGCCCCTCAGCTTCACCTGTTGTTGACAGAACTGTTTTGAAATTAGGCATTTGATCTATTCCCATTTTACTAAACCAGAGATGAGATTTTAAAAGCTTAAACCCAAAGAAAACCTAAACTTGGGCTTAGATAGAACCCAAGTCAGGATTTGTTCTGATTCAACCAATGAGAGACTTCTTAGCAAGCTTTCTCTCTAAGGCAGACAGAAGGCTGTCAGATCAGCTGTGACAAGGAGATGTAAATTTCAAAATTTCAAACTTTCTGTAGACACATTATTTTCATAGTATGTTTATTTTATATATTTAATAAAATTTGACACCAAAAATAATTCCCAAGATTTTAAATGTACAAGTATAAAAGATTTTTCAAAATTTACGATTACCAGCTTCTGAAGATTCGAGCCATAAAGAGAGAAAACTAAACTTAAGGCCATCCAAAACCTGGGTCTTGCCTTGTGCTTTACTTGGGTCTCAGCAAATACAAAGACCAGGTTTACTCTGGTTCAAGCTTTTAAAATCTTATTGCTGAGCTGAGATTAAGAGAAGAAAAAAAGTGTAAATTATCATTGATGAAATAATGATAAAGGAAAAGCTATTAAATCTCAATGTATAGAGTTTGACCAAATGATGGAACTAGAACCAGAGCAAACTGCAAAGCAACTGATTCTGGCAACCCAGATTATCTACATACCCATCACCATCATCAACACAGTTGTAGATCTCAAAACAGGTGTGAAATAGTGACTTTTTGATTTATATGTTGTTCTCATAAAAATATTTAACACCCTTGAATTTAAGCTATATCTATAAATACAAAGTTCAATGTTAAGGGTTTATTCCTGGCTATCTTGGGTACCTAACTGGGGCACAACCATCCTCTGGAAATCCTATTGGCTTGTATCTAAATGCTGCCAATATCATTCTTGCACTTCTTGCCACAGTATTTGCATATACCTTTAACACTCTGTATCTGAAGAACAAGCATGGTCTGATAATCCCTCATGAAATCAGTACTCCTCAGCAGAATCTGATCAGCCTGAAGAAACTGATTTTTGGAACGCTAGTGATGACACTGCTTGTAATAGTATTCATTGTAATCCATTCCCTCATCTCTCCATGGAACAGACAAGTATCCCTGCCCTTGGCTACCCTCTACATCATAGCAAGTGTTCAGCTCATGCTTTCCAAAAATGAGAATGCATTGAACCACTTCAAGCAAGTTCTGAGAATTAAAAGAGATAATCTAGAATTTTCATCTTTTAATTTAAGGCAAATGTTTGGAAGAAATAACAGGGTTTCTGCAATTGCTTAAAGAGACTGTCCGAAAAATTTCAGTCTCGCTTACATGCTAAGATGGCAATGGCCAATTTAAAAGGGTACCATTGAAACCTTTATCTTATCAATAATGTGGATTAAATTGTCAGTTTTTTTTAAACTTTGAAATTGTTTATTTCAAACAGTTATATGCTTTATATTTTTCCCTGCACAGTAGAATTGCGAAAATCACATTTGTAAAGAACCCACATTTGAAAATAATCTGTTTTCAAAGTTGATTTCTAATCAATGCTTGATCAGACAAAGCTGTTAAGGGTACCAAAGTGAGTCCAGCATTGCCATCTTTACATGGAATTTGAAGTTCACTTGAAATTATGCTTAAGAACTAAGGTAGAGATAACTAATCAAAACAGAATATTTGTGTCATCAAATAATAGCTTGCCAGAGCCCGTGATTTAAAAAGTCGGGGAAATACGGCTGGGGCCTAAGCTGTCGTTGGACCTTATTTACGGCTTGAGCTTTTGGATTAAAGCTGCATCTAATTTTCCACAGAGTTGAATTTAAAAAACCGGTTTAATATTCCATTTGGCGGATTTTCATGTTAGGAATTGGCGCATTCCCAGTTTTTATTAGAACAAGACCCAACATTGAGTCTTGTTCTCCACTAAAACCAATCAAGGTCGGTTATATTTTCATTGGGCTTAACTCCTTAAATCGAGCTGAATATCTTTCAGCTGTCAATCATGTGACACAAGCTGTTGCTAGAGTTGGCTCGAAGATTGGGTCTTAAAGTGGGGTTTAAGGAATTAGGACTCGAGCCCAAGCTTTTAAATCGCGGCCTCCGGATTCTCTCTATTGTCTCTATTTAATTTATGGATCAACTTGGACCTGTAAAGGGCTTACAGAACCTTCCCTAAAGCTGTAAAGAATGATAAACCATCAAAAGCTTTTGTAAATAAATTTTTGGCAGAAACTTTCCTTACTGTCTTAAGACTTAATGCAAATATTCAGGATCAATTCTTAACAGTTTCAAGGAATGTCCTGTATGACTTTTATCTGGAAAAATTGGAAAACCTAATTTTCTCCTGATGAATTTGTAGCCCTGGGAAACAGTATATCGAGAACATATAAATAAAAGAAACTAAAAGTTGATAAACCTACAATAATCTGATCGAAAAAATATCTTTTGCATTTTCCAGATAATTCTCAACAGAATATAGATTATAAATACATTCACTATCTTGATAATGTGGACCTTTAACTTAAAAATAATAATAATGATAATAATGCTAATTGCCAAATATTATTTAGACTTACAAAATTGGAAATAACCTGTTCTCAAAGTCATAATCTTTGATTTTTCTAGTTAATACATGATCAGAGAAAACTATTAAGTTTACCATTGTGAGTCAGGCATTGCCATTTTTACTAAAAACGTAAAATTCCTGATTGGTATCTAATGAATCCTAAAATTAATCTCTAAAATACTGCAGTTTCAGTTCAACTATTTTAACTATCTTACCAGGCCCTTAAATGACAACTATTTTCAGTTATATTTGCAGAGCAAAATGAGAGTTCACAGATGGAAGTTTTACTTTTTCCCCTAAAAGGATTATTTAAATATTTTGAAGTAAACATTACCATAATTTTCAGAATTGGGAAAACCTTTATCTTCTGTCTTAATTGCAATGTTGACTACTTAGTAAGAAAATAAAATATGTAAACTTATTCCTTCGAACAGTTTTCTATAAATTGAATCAATGTGGCCCTTTTACATTATTTTTTTGTGTGAAAAATAAAGGTCCTTTTTTACTGTAGCAAATACTGTAAAAGTACATATATGAGATTCTTTTGCAAGAATTTAGTTCACCAGTTCAAATGAAGTGAACAATCGACATTATCCCATTCCATTATAAAACTCTAACCACTCTTGCAGATTGATATATTTCAACCAGATTAAACTTAAACTATATACAACCTTAAATAAAATAGCATCTTTACTGAAAAATATTAGTATCTACATGTAGTATAGCTTTTCAATAGGTAAACAGTCCTTTAAAGTTCTCTCTAACAAAATGAACTCCTCGAACAAATCAAGTCAGGAAGCTCTTGATGATTGCAATGTTGAAAGGTAAAAGAGTATTTGTAATAATATTGGTAATTAATTTTAAAATGATGTTCTTTATTTCTAAGCTTATCCTGGGAACCTTTAATGGCTTTGGCTTTTCTGGTCCCCTCAATCTTTTCCAACCTTTCAGCTGGTGTTATCAGACTCTACAGGAACTCTGTACCATTTGCCAAACTGAACATCATCTTTATCATTAACTACTACATTGTGGAGATGTTCAATTTACTCATCTCTTTATGGGTAAGTTTTTACAAAACACTCTGATAAACTGATTGGTCTTTTTTTTACTTTGAAATTTTTATTAGCCTAAATATAGTTAAAGATAGTCCCTTCAGTTTCACCCATTGTTGACATAACTGCATGGTATCTTATTTTTTTATATTTTTCGTTGTTTATTTTTCATTTTTTTGGCCAACAGGCTGAGGTTAAGACAACTCCCTCCGTTTAAACCCCTTCAATTTAATCTTTTTTTCTTGTTTATAAATGTTTCTTGATTGGTTTAATAATGAAAATTAATAATAGTTTGCCAAATAGAAAAGTATAAAAGTAGTTGATTTGTTTAGACTCTCAGTGCCATTTGGGCAACCATCATCTGTAAACTACCAATGTTTCTTGGAACTATGGTTTTCAAAAGTGTGTACTGGGCTGGGTTCACTGTGATGGGACTAAACATAGTTCAGGCTGCCCTCAGGATGCTGATGGTTCTGAAGGTTGTTTATTAAAATGATTGTTGAATCAGAATTTAAAAAACCTTACCTTTTATTCATTAAATATTCTGTTTCTTATGGCACATGCTGTGTACATACTAAAAATGTTATGCAAATACTTTGCAAGCCAGAATAAAGACTAAAGCAAGAAGAAAAAAGTGTAAAGTAAATTGTAATTGATTAAATAAAGATAAAGGAAAAGCTTTTAAATCTCCATTTATATAGTTTGACCGAATGATGGAACTAGAGCCGGAGCAAACTGCAAAACAACTGTTTCTGGCAACCCAGATTATCTACATACCCATCCCAATCATCACCACAGTTGTAGATCTCAAAACAGGTGTGAAATAGTGACTTTTTGATTTCTACTTTGTTCTTGTAAAAATATTTAGCATCTGTAAGTTTAAACTATATCTGTAATAAATCTAGGTCCTGAGATTATGCTACTCAAAGTCTAATTATAGTCTCACTGACTCTATTTCTAGCCAAAACTCAAGGCTCTTTATTCGTCCATATAATATGAAGGTTCATGTAGTACTAAATTTATTTATATACAGGTGAATCAAACTGACCGGATCAGCCGGTTAGAGCAACATTGAAATAGATAAGACATATATTGATAACATAGATAATAAAGATCATGATAAGCATTACAACAGAAAATGCTACAAATCCCCGGGGGGGCGGTGTCGAGAGTACTCTTTCAATTAAATTTAACGATACTCCGACATAATAGGCATCCAAGTAGATGTAGATGTAGATGTAGATGTAGATGTAGATGTAGAAGTAGATGTAGATGCAGATTTAGTTGTAGACGTAGATGTAGGTGTAGTGGTAGATGTAGATACAGATGGAGATTTAGATGGACAGATGTATTCGGCTCAGCCCCGAGTCTAATCTTGAACTACCCTGGTTCTAAAACAGCAACATTGGTGATATCAACGGGCCGATGAGCAACATCGTAATCTATAATCCCTGGTTTATCTCTATGAACATATCCAGCTCTAGGTATGGAATGAATAACCTCAAAGAGTTGCAGAGCAACATCGTAACCTTTAACTCTATGCTGATCTTGGTGGGCACATCTAGCTATTAGGCCTCTCACGTTGGGCTGTTGGTGTAGAATCTCTAGTATTGCCCACTTGCCCTGAAGACAGACTCCAGCTAGATTTGTCTCTCTGACCTTGTGAACATATCTCTCCATTATATTACAGACTCCTTGGTGTAGATCCTCTAGTATTGATAACTTTCCCTGTAGACAGACTCCAGATTGATTTGTATCTCTGGCCTTGTAAACATATCTCTCCATTATATTGCAGACTCCTTGGTTTCTGTTTAAGTTGAATTCCATTTCACGGGAAGGAAACAGCTCTTTTCCGGACATCATGTAGATAGGCATCTGTGGATGGAGGTTGCAGTCGGGTGTATACATCTGAGGAATTATTTCACTCAAATCCTTGAAACCCTCTGTAGCTGTGATAGAGAGGAACATGAACAGAAGCATTAGACCTGTACGAAACAGAGAGCTACTCCATGACCTGTTGCGCCTCCTTGTGTTCCTTGTTGACTGACCGTTAGCTGGAGAGATAGGATTGCTCTGCACCGCTGGCGTACCGGCACGTCCTGGCTGAACTGGTAGGGCTGCGATCACTCCCGCCTGTTGAACCCTCATAGCTGGGGTAAGGGGTGAAATTCGTACTGTACTGACCAGGTTTTCTGTTGATCTCTCCATACAGCCACAGCGATCCAGAATACAATTTATCAATCCTTTGAATTTCTTGGCTTGAATCTCTTGATCCCAGCTGACTTCTTACTCCTCATATTTTACCCAAGGAATATCTCTCGCTCCCCTCTTGATCCCTTCTCGCTTTCTCCATTTATCATGATGGAGGTTTTTCTCCAGCTCAGTTTGCCCTCTCTTCACTCCTCCAGCCCCCTCATGCATATGTATCTTGTTCTCCGGCTGATAGACTGGCATTGTACTATAAAGGATGGAGGTGTGGTAGGTTGGGTTGGTTCATCTTGTAATCTCCTCTTGATCCCCTCCCTTTTCCTCCATTTTTCATTATGGCTGTTTTCCTCAGGTTCGGTTTGGCCTTTCTTTACTCCCCCTCCCCCCCCTCCTGCATATCTATCTCGTTCTCCGGGCTATAGGTTAGCACTGCACCTGAAGGTTGGGGCTGGGTTGATCCTCCAGTATTTTCCAGACTGGGGGGGGGGCTGGTACTCTGCCCCCCTATTCCCCTCTCCCTGCATATCATCTTCTCCATCTAAATCTATCTCCCTCTTCACAGCTGGATGTTATCTGTGTCCCGTGGTCAGCCTGTATAATCTCCTGGGGTTCAGTTTGACAAGCTGTATCTCTTTTCTCTTGCTCTCTTCTGGTATCAGTCTCTCTAACTCTGAACTTGGAATTTCTGTAATCTCATCCCCTCCTTGAAATGAGGGGTGGGGGGGGGGGTCACTAGGGAAGCTGTGTACATTGTTTTCCCTCCTAAACTCCTTTAGAATGTCTAAGTTAACTATCCTTGGTTTACCCTGCTTGTACACTACAATTACTTCAGCCAATGCTGGGGCCATTAATCTTACAATCTTGTAGGGCCCCACCCAGTATGACCTGAGTTTATCACAACTGCTTGGAATTAAAGATCCATACCCACTGGCCTATTTTGAACTGGTTCAGGATCGGTTTGTAATACTGAGCATTTCTCCGCACAGTCTGTTGTTATCTCTCTCTCATCCCAGCATAAGCAGTTTGAAACCTTTCTTGTATAGTCTCTGTCCAGGTAGATACATCCTTCTCAACATCCGGTTTGGGTATGGGGTAAACCCACTCGAAGGGAACTATAGCTTCTCTCCCGAAAGTTGCAAAGAACGGTGTCTGGCCTGTCCCGACAAACCAAATTTCGTTTCTGGAACGTTACAGAAACGTTATGTAAGGTAGCGTTACGTTATGGCTTCGTTTTCCTGATATGTAAATGCTACGTAAAACGAACCACTTTTTACGTTACTGAAACTTTTTCTAGTAACGTTTCCCAGAAACGTTTTAAGATCGCAAAAAATTCAAACTATTAACGTTTTAGTTACGTAAAACATTAATAAAAAACCTTTCAAATTTTGTTTAAAATGTTCAAATGCAAAAAAAAATCTGAAGAAAAAAATCTTATATACGTATATATACTTAGTACTTCCCTTAATATTCTATATAGAACACTAAATATATCTTACTAATATAGAGAACACTAAATCCTTATCCTAAATCTGTAGAGAACAGTATATACTTATCATGTCTTTGTTATTCATATTTAAGAGAACACATACATACAGTGTAATGTTATGTACTGTAGAAAAGAATAAGATTAAAAATATACAGTAAATAAAAAATCATTGAAAATACTCCACTATTAAATAACTTCCAGTATCATGGATAACTAGCATTTTATATTAAAGGAATTGAGTCTTTGCCACAAACTCTAATTTTCTAATCACTATATCATTGGAACCAAATATTGTAGACCTTAGATATTTCAAACTATGAATTCTTTTAAATCAAATAATCTGAGTTTGAAATATCAAAGGTTTACAAGATAGGGTTAAAAAATAAACAGCAAATATAAAAAATCACAAAATACTAATACTAAACATTCAAAACTAAACAAACAGATTAAAGTCTTAACTAAACA